CACGGGCGGTGCGTGCGGTGGGCGAATTGCTGGGAGGAGGTGGTCGCCGACGCCTGCGCCCGCCGCATGTAGCCCAGGAGGCCGGTGGCGGGGGTGGGTGTGCACGGAGCAGATTGCCTGGAGGGGGAGGTTGGCTGTGGCGACACCACCCTTTTTCGCGCCCTCACCTGCGAGGACGCCGCGAGGGTGTCGGACCAGACCAGGGCCGGCGCCTGGTGGGTGGCGCGCAGACTGTTGTGGTCAGCCAGCACATTAACCATCTCACTAGGGATGGCCAGGGGCAGGATGCCGGTCAAGGCCTGGGCGCGCGCTCGCGTGGCCTCCACCGCTGGGGTATCCTTCTCGGTAAAGAAGAGGGGCTCCAGGAGCACAGTATCTGAGTGTTGCCGGCGGGGCAGAGACGGGGGCGCGGAAGCACGGCGCCAGGTGGCGTCAGTTGGGCTGGACGCGGCCGGGGCTGGCAGGGCCTGCTATGGTGTCAGGCTGGGCGGACGTTGACCGAGCACGCGGTCCTCAAGGAGATTGAAAGGGGGGGAGGGAGAGGTGCAGCCAGGCATGACGGCGTGCCTGCCGGAGCCGCGCACCTTGGGCTGCTGCCGTGGCAAACAGCGCGGCCGCTATCAGTAGCGCGGCAGCGAGCATGGTGGCCGCCGCGCCAGCGTGGCGTGGGCGCCGAGTTGGGCGCGGGGCTCCTAATGGGCGCAGGGGAGGGGCCGAGGGAGCATGACTGGCCTGAACCATGAACGCCGGCTGCTAGATGCTGTCGACAGGCCTACAGCGGCGCATCGGCGGCCGGCCCACTGGGTGCGAGCCACTGGGCATGGTGACCACCCTCCCCCATCATTGCCTTGGCGGGTGACAGCCCGCGTGTCGCCGCTGTTGTCCCTCTCCTGCTGCTCCTATAGATCGGACTATTCAAAATCACCGCACGCACCTGACCTGGCCATAATGGTCGCGGCCGTCGTGTTGGCGCCTCCTTGCAGCCTCAAGTGCCCTCACTGGCGAATGAATACAAAAGCTTAATGCACAACCGAGAACCCTCTGCTCAGATGCTGCTGGCCCTCCGACTAGGGAGACCCCGGGTATACAACCAGGCCGGACACGGACAGTTGGTACTGTGTGGGCCACTGCGATAACAAAATCGTTTTCTCGAGATGCAACGTATCAGAACCAAAAAAGCGCGCTGGCCGCTCTCTCTTCAGACCAGGGGTTATCGTTCAAGCCAAACTTCAGGGAGCACTAGTCAAGTGGGACTGGGTAGCATTGTCAACCAGCTGCATGCTGCCACGCATCCAGCTTCAGGACACTGTGAACCTCTTGAATTTTCTGGGATGCGCGGCATTGAGCACCACCCGGGCTTTGCCCCGCCTGCCAACCATTCGAACGGCCCCGCGAACATGCCTTCCACATTCATGAGGGTGAATGGAACATTGCAGCTGCCCGTACAACGCAATCAGTGGAGACACATGAAAATACCAGGTCGAAGCAACAGGAGAGCGGCGAGCGGCGCGCGAACAACGCTGCACGGAGACTCGTCGTGAACTTTACACGCACAGGCTCTGATTCTGGCATGCGAGAAGCCGCAAAGAGGGGGACAAAGCACGCGGCATGCTAGAAAGAAGAAAGAGGAACATTGAATGATTGGGAGTTCCCTACAACAAGTTGGCCTCAACGTTGTGAAATATGCAACTGCGACCGAGAAAGCGCACTCCGCCATTACTCAGCCTCCTGGAAGCTGCCACCCATTCTTGGCCTACTGTCTAGCCCATGCCCATCAGGGCGCGCGTTATTGTTGTATGCTGAGCAAACCCTAGCTCTGCTCAAAGCACGTCTGGCACGCCCCCCTGCATGCAGTGCCAAATTGACACGTGTAGATTGCAGAAACGGTCTGCAAGATCTGATCGGGGATGCAAGATCAGACCGAGTCGGTCGCTTAGCTGACATTGTCAGGCTGCAGGTGTGCTCCGACTGTTTCTGCCACTGCAGTTTTAGGACACCCCTTCAAACACGTAACCCGTGCCTTGGAGTTGACGAAGCGTGTGCAGATGCTCACGTGATGCGGCCAGCCAGCCGCAATAACATGCCTGACGACGTCGACATGGGCTGGTGCACTGCTGTGATGTGCCTGGACTGAGCGGCAAGCTGGCCGTGCGGTGGTGCTGCTGCTTGCTCGGCGAGCGCTAGCAACTGGCTTGCTGCTGCAGGCGAACAGCGCTGCATCACGCCCCTGCCGCGCCGCACGTTTGCTTATTACACCTGAAAATGAAGCGGGCGCGCTGTCCGCCTCAACCGTCACGAAAAGAGGGGATAGGATGGCGGTGCTTGCAGGCTTGACGGCTGTACATCCCATGCGTCACGGCTTTGCAGGGAGATTTACAAGCGGTCGCAGCGATCATCATGCCACGTCATGTTTGTTTGCGGTCACGCGTACTGCGGTGATGCATGGTTCCCCGAATCTAGGGTGGCGAGGCGCGTGCGCAAATTTGAGCAAGCAAGGCACGCATGCAGCCTTATGAACAGTGGGCAGCCCAAACGGCGCCCACACACACATATCAAGCAGTGATGATTATTCCCCGTATTGGCTCTTGCGCACGGGCCTGCCCTCGTCGACGCCGCCGTACGCAAGTGGGAGATGGGGGTCGGTGCCAGCGGCTCGGCTTCCTCGACGACTCATCAGCGCGTACCCACCATTAGCAACAGCCACCAGTGCACAAAAAAGACATTCGCAGGGCCTAGGAATGGGCACTGCAGATCCCGCTGCATTGCGCCCATAGGGGGCTGCGGTGCGTGGCCCCTGCCCAGCCTTGCACGCGCATGGTGTGCAGGCCGCCTGCGGCCCTCAACGCAGCCTGGTGCTTGTCAATAATGCCGCGTGTCCTGCGGCTGGCAGAGTGCCGCACAGCCACGGCCTCTTAGCCCTGACATACACAACATACACCGATGTTGCGGACGCGCTCAGGCGGCCTGGAGGAGCATGCGGCGGCCGCCGGGGAAGGTCCCGCTGAACCCAGGCACGTTGACTGTGGTGCCGGCAGGGGTCCTGCGAACGGGAGAGCGGGCCAACGGGGAGAACACACGAGCGGTGTCACCCCTTTGCTTGAATGCGGGGGGCGTCCAAGACAGCGGCAAGGCCACCACCGCCGCACAGCCACATGGCGGGTGAGTGCTGTTTGTTGCTCAGTGGCCATGATAGACCACGCAGTGCCCCGCGCTAGGGCACCGCACACCGGCGCTTACCTGGTCACACCGCCCCACACGCCGCCGACGGCGACGTTGCCGTTGCGGACGGCCACGCCGGTGGTGGGCGCCGCCACGTTGACCCCCGTGTTGCCGGGCGTCGACTTGACCGTCACGCCGGTGCCGGGCGCCGACACCTTCACGGCGGCGGCCTTGGAGTCGGTGGCGGGCTTGGTGGTGACGCGGACGGCAGTGCCGGGGGCGGACACGACAGTCTGGGACGCCTTGCCGGTCGGGGTGTTGGTGGTGGTGGTGGTCGCGGTGGTCCCAGGGGCGGTGACCTTGACGTCGCCGCCCACGGGGACGGAGACCTTGACTGCAGGGGAGCCTCCGGCCTTGGGGGCGCCCGCGGCAGTGCTGGACAGTGGGCTCGTCTCGGACGGCTTGCCGGCGGGGGAGGTCGTGGTGGTGGTGGAGGGCGCGTCGACGTTTACGTTGGCGCCTCTGGCGCCCGCGTCAGTGCTGACGGTTGCACCCGGTGCCGACACGCCGACGCGCACTGGCTGGGCCGAAGACACGGCGACAATGGCTGCCGCCAGAAAAATCCAAAGAATCTTGGCCATGTTTTCTTGTGAGGAGCGCCCCACGCTGCAAACGGACCTGGAAGGTGGTGATGTGCGAGAGGATCGGCAGTTGACGCGCACGATGCATATCAGGTTCAGTTCAATTTAGGTCGACGTGCGTAATGGAATCGTTCCGAATCGGCCCTAGGTACGTGGGGGGCGCCCGCTGGGGACGGCAGCATTACGAAGTAGTGATCTGCGGCACCGATGCCGGTTCGGGTGATGTGGGCTGCTTGCAGGTTATAGCAGTACAAACTGGTTATACGTGCCTATTGAGCGGGCGCGGAGCTGCGCTGGAGGTGCCCTCACCCTTGTCGTTGTCGTGCGCTCGCGTTTTCGAGTCCAAGTCGACAAACTGCTCTGATTTTGGTATGAAGACGAAATGAAACTCCTTAAAACGCCGACTGATGAAGTTGAACCATTAGCCGCTGGGTCTGTCATGAAGGGCGGGAATGCTGGACGGACCTTCCACTCAGCGTCCAGCGATCACACCTGCGCATCACACCATACTGTATTTTACACAAAGAGTCGCGAGGCGACATCCATGCCAGATTGCAATTGATAACTGGGAAAACCTGTAGATACGGTGGGCCGTGTGCTCAGGCTGCCAGGCTGCTGCGCGGGTGGCCGGTTGCGCAACTGTTAGCTGCCACACCAAACGTTCACACGAATCAACTGATACAGGCAGCCCTACGACCGTCCCCTGACACCCCGCAGTCCGGAACAAATCAAAGTCATCTCATCCTATACAGCTGCCCAGGTACCTCCACCTCACGGGGGCGCCTGTTTGTTTTCGCACAAAAGGCATCAGTAATGGCCTCCGAGCCGAAAAACGGACGTAAAAAATGGCGTCCCTCACCGTCTTCCACGTCCCGCACGCCCACCACCCCCCACACCCTGACACCTCCTCCTGACCTCTACCAGAATCGCAAACGTGCTGCAGCAATTACCGAATCCCCCCCGATTGGAGTCGTGCATCCCAGCGTATTTGTACATGATTACCGGAAAGAGAAACACTGGCAATGTGCCGGACGTATGGTCCAACTGCGGCAATGCGCCCCACACACAACGCATTGCAGACGCTGCGGCCTGGTGGGCGGCCAAGCCTGCCTAACGCCCTTTCGACTTTGTCCGTGGAAACAAAGAGCCTGTGCGGCTCCGGAAAAGCCTGGAACTGTAAAACTGAAGGTCCACCCTCTCTTTGCAACAACAGGGGCAGACAGGAGTTCCACAACACAGGGACCGACGGGACCAAAGCCATGGGCATCAACGCGACGTGAATGTGGATGATGATTTTGGGTGTGAAAGGCAGTCTCTGCATGGTGAAGTGGACCCCGAACAGGGTGCTGGTAGATCAAGTGCTGGAGCCCAGGGCGGCGCGATTGACAGGCGCGTTCGGCAGGGGCAGACGTGCGCTTGCATCGCGCCTACACCCGGGCCAAAATCGGGGTGGCACAAAGTCCAGGCGCACGGTGTGGCTGTGTGGCCTTTAGCTGCCATGTTCACTCTCCAGAGGACACGGCGCGCTCCGTGAGGCGCACAGTCAGCCTACGCTCCGCCCCGCGGCCGCCGTCGCCGCGCACCGTCACGGGCACGGCGTCCCCAGGCCTGTCGGGGCACGAGAGTTGGGCGGGGTGGTAAAGGGTTGCGCGGGAAACAACAAAAAACGGCTCCACTCTCGCATGCAACACATCCTGGCCAAGGCAGCACGCATACCACATTGCAACACCAATACGAGCGAAAGCAGCTGGCAGAGGCAGCTTCAAGGCGCGAGCAGGGTGGCAGACGGGTGCGAGGTGGTGGTCCTCACCTGCATTCGTCCAGGGCCGAGAACAGGTCCTTCTCACTGCGGCACGAAAAAGTGGGCAGCGGCAACAGGCAGCGCCACGCAGTGAAAGGGGCGTAAGGGTCAGCCAACCACACCGTTGGCACATACGGTTGCCCGAAGCCCAATTCACAGTCGATCTGAGCAGCACATGCATACGGGCTGCCTGGCAGCTTGGTGACGCCGCACGCAGTGTGCAGGGGCCTGGTGTGCGCAACGCGCCTTGTCAGCCACGCAGGCCCCCTCCCTCCCACCCCAACACACACCTCTTCACGGCCCGCCCGTTGAGGCCTGTGATGACGTCACCCAATCTCACACCCAGGAACTCCCTAGAACCACGGAGAAGAGGGAGGGGAAGGAGACAACACGAGTCAGCAGCACGCCGGCAGGCACACATGGCGGTGCAGACCCTAGGTCCAGCGTTGGCAGTGCAGGGACCGCAGGCGCCGCGAAGCCCAGAGGGCAGGGGAGGGGGTGGGGCTCAAGGCAGCGGGGTGCATGGCGGCGCTCACCGAGTGCTGGCCCTGATCCCTGCGGCTGCCGCGGGCCCCCCCGCCGCTACGTCGAGCACGACGACACCCTCCACCCCCAGGCGCTGTGCGAGCGTGGCGGGGGCGAGGGCCACCCCCAGGTAGGGGCGCACCACGC